CTAGAGCACAGCTTTGTTGACATCTATGAGAGTTTTGTAAGAAGAGCTTCTGTACGTGTGCAACTCCCCCATTAAACCATAACGCCTTGGTAGTAGGGAGTTTGCCTGTTCATTGTCATATCTCCAGTGCATAGGATAATGCCTGATGTATATTTGGGGCTCAAAATATATTGTCTGATGAGTGAATGCTACATAGTTGTGGAGCAGCACTGTGTGCTGAGCACAATGCTAGGTGTGTTTTCTTGTTTATTTAGGGGTGACTTAGTGGATATTCTTTTATTGTTTTGATGAACATTACAGGAAATGTGTAACAAGGGGCTTTGTCAGTTGTATTACATAAGTCAAAGCAGTATTTTCCAAAGTAGGATTCTTATTTGTAGGGGGTACACTACAATCTGACCCATTTGGGTATGGAAAGAAAATAACAGAACGATAGAAACAGAGGTGGGAGGGTACAAATGAGAATTTATTAAAAGTCCTGCAGTATAGTCTGGCTTATAATTATTTTGCATAGAAATTTCAGGTATAGTACTTATCAGTTCTCTTCGGCCATTAACTATTGTTGTTTGGAAAATCAGAATGAGTCTATGATAAAATACTACATTTTATATGAAAAGCTCTTTGAAGGATAGAAGGTATGTCTATATTAACATTTAAAGTGATATATCTTAAAGAAGAAGGGGAAGAAGGAAAAGATAGGATCCATTGTAAACTTTTACCAAAATATAAAAGCCACTAGACTATTTAATATAGTTCAGATGATCCTTTTACTGATCATCTGATGTCATCTGAAATCATATGATTTCTCTCTCTCTCTCTCTTTTTTTTTTTTTTTTGGTGGCTGGCCAGCCCAGGGATTTGAACCCTTGACCAGGGGGGAACTGTTGGCTATGGTGTTACAACACCACTCTCTAACCAACTGAGCTAACCAGCCAGCCCAGTTCAAATGATCCTTGTTGCTGTTGTTTTTAATCTAAAGCCTTGCCAAATGCAATGAAATTATTAGTGGGCTGCGTTTCTTTGTTAATTGGTCATCACTTCACATGCATGTTCTGATGCAATTTAATAGCACTTAATGATCACACAATGGGGACTGGTAGATAAAAGTTACTGGGATTTCAGACCTTCTTATTCACATCTCAAACTATTTCGTAATTTCTTTGTCTTTGCCCGTCATTCTCTCTGTGCTACATTCTGGGTAATTTCTTCAAATGTAGCTTCTGCTTCTCTCTTAAACTGTGTGTGTATAAATCTTCTGTTTTACCTGTTTATTGAGTTTCTAAAGTCAGTGATCATAATTTTTATTTCTAGACATTGTGTGGTCCTTTTCGTATGTTCATGGTCCCATCTGGTCTCTCTCATTCCTTCTCTTGGGTTTTGTTCAGGCAACACAGGTAATATGCAGTCTGGGCCCCAAACCCATGTGGTAAGGTGCTCTCCAGGAAGACTTTTTCTTTCTAATCCATTTCTTTCAGGACTAGCAAGGTAGGCAGTATCCCCATCTTCCCTCTGTGGGCCAGCGTTTTTCTACTCTGTCTTTCAGGGATTCCAGATTTATACAAAGCTCTCGGAAAAGATTTTCTATCATTCTTTTTTTAAATCAATATTATTTTTGATTGACAAATCATAATTGTATATATTTGTGGGATACAATATGATGTTATGATATATGTATACAATGTAGAATGGTTAAATCAAGCTCATTAACATACATATCCATCACCTCCCTTACCTATCATTT